TCCAGCGTGTCCCGCAGCTCCCGCACGAGGCTGGGGTGGCCCTGCCTGCGGCCCCAGGCAAGGGGTGGACGTGGGGACAGGGACCGGAGAGTGGGACAGGGATGGGGACGGGCGCTGCGCCCCACGCTGCACTCACCAGATCAGTGGGTGGTCAAAGGGGTGGATGCTCACAAAGCCCTCGGTCTTGGCCAGCTCCTCGGCTCTCTCGTGGGCATCATCCCATACCTGGGTGGGCCACCATGTCCCCTACCTTGTGGCCCCACAATCCCCAGAACCAGCACGTGCATCCCTGGCTGCCCCCCGCCCCATCGAGGACCCGGGAGCGCCTGGGGGACACTAGGGATGCCCAATGTCCACGCGTCACCCGATGCCCAGATGTTTGTGATGGGGACGGCCCTGGTGGGCTCCATGCCCCCATGGGGAGGTGGGGGGCAGGGGTGTCCCCTCCGCACGGTACCTTTCCGCTGACCTCCACGTGGGCACCCAGCTCATGCAGCTTCCGCACCGTCATGGGGCCCGCGCTGCTCGGCACCACCACGGTGGCCGGCAGCCCCAGCTTCCTGGCCGCGTAGGCCGTGGCCAGCCCTGCGTTGCCCCCTGCACAAGAGAGGGCCACAGAGGGGCTCCAGCCCCCCGGCACCCCATGGCGCAGGGGGCTGCGCCAGTGGTGGGTGCTGCAACACCCACACCATGTCCTTGCCCTGCTCAGCCTCCCCTCGCTTCCCAACCGGCCTCCCTGCCCAGGACCCCACACTGGGTGTCCCACATCAGATGTCCCCCAGCAGATCACCTCCCATCAGGTCCTCACCACCACCAGGTCCCACTGCCATCAAGATCCACCACCACCAGGTCCCCATCACAACCTCCAGGGCCCACTACTGTCAAGATCCACCACCACCAGGTTGGTCCCACCACCATCAAGATCCACACCAGCAGGTCCCCGTTACAACCTCCATGTCTCCCTACTCCCAAATCAACCACCACCACCAGGTAGGTCCCCAGTGCTGCCAGGCTCCCCTGGACCGGCTCTCATTCCCTCCCTCCTCACAGCCCCCCTCGGCTTTGGGCAGAACCTGCTTCCCTCCCTGCACATGCATCAAGGACCCACGAGGCTTCACCACCCAGTGCAGAGGCTGAGGGCACTGGGGACCCCCAGCACCCACCACGGTGGCCCAGGGACTGGGAAAAATGGGATGCATGGAAGCGGGAAGCAGGGATTTTTCCCCCAGCACAAAGGCCCGCCTG